ATTCACCAAGATTTATCTCAGACAACAAGTATTTCCACATTTGATAAGGCTTCATTCTTATCTTACAGGTTAAAGAGCTGCAAGCTTTTACTTATTTTATGACATCTTTTTCAACTTTTGCAATTAGTACTTTTTATTGGTTTTGAGGTCTTGGGCTTTCATTTCCTCAAGAGGTGCATTTTCAGATTATTCATTATTTTCCTCCTCCATCCTACATATTTGCATGATACATTTGTTTATGTGCTAGCAGGTAATCACAGTCTACCAATTTAGGTAGAAAATGTAAAGCAAATGCTTCAATAAACACAGGTGCTTAGGTGCTTATATCTAAATATACAAGGATCCACATGCACTGGAAACTATTTGCATAATATGCTCAAACATTAGAAGTTGTATCTGCCTTTACTGCTTGTGAAAAATTTAAGTACTCTCAGTTTCTAATTTCCTTTGCTAACTTCCATTCTATCTAGTTGCCCAAGTAGTGTCTCAAGTTGTGAAATAAAAGATAAAACAAGGTAATGGATCATAATTTTAAATCTTCTGAAATATATCTCAAATGATAATAAGAGGAAGCTATACAGTGGTAAGTTGTGAAAAGAAAGCACAGAACAGTGAGAAAAATCTGTTTTCTGTTTGAGGCTCTGCCACTTCCTAGTGGTGTGAGCATTAATTAGCAAGTTGTCATCATGTGAACCTCAGTTTTCTTATCCATAAAATAGGAATATTCTCATCTTACAGGTACTAGTGCTGAGAAGCAAAACTTTCTTAAAATGCAGAACACTACTAAGAATCAGAACTGAGTCTAAGGACCATTCATTTATAACCATATCCTGAAAAGCTCATATAATCAGGTTTTATTTTTCTGAAGAGCACTGTTCCCTTACACTACTACTTCTTTTTTCCTTTTAAATATTTTTCAGAGACAGCACCATACTTTTGAGAGGGATGGTGCTGTTACCAAGTGGTTTCTGGCAGAAGACTCCAGAAACACATTTAGGAAAGAGAAAAGGAGAACAAAACAGCAAAATAAATTGCGCAGTAATCCGAATTTTTTTTTCAATTGGGTTTAATGTAGATAAATGGCAATACTCTATGAGTCTCTGCATTAATAACTTACAGTGCTGTTGGGTGTAATCTTTTCCAACTGCCCAATAGTTTTGATGTAAAAATCTAAAAAGAGCTTTAGGCATGAAGGAGTCAATAATGGTTTTAACCCTTGGAGACTTAAACAGATTTGTTTGCCGATGTTTTTCCATTAATGAAGATTACCTAGTGAAGTCCCTAATGACACTTGTTTATAACAGATCTCCCAGGAAGCAGAAATCTACACACTATAACCAAAGTTAGCACTACTACAGAAATTACTCTCTCCAGATATCTAAAAGTTAATAAAGATCTCTATACCTGCAGATTCAACCAACATCCAGATCAAATACATTAGGAAAATAATTGCATCTGTACAGAACATGTAGACTTTTTTTTCATTGTTCCCTAAACAGTAATATATAACAAGTATTTACATGCATTTACATTGTACTAGTAAAAGCTTAAGGAAGGATGTACATACATCATATGCAAATGCTACACCCTTTTATATAAAGGACTTGAGCACCTGGAGATTTTGGTAGCCAGGAACAAACCCACGTAGATACTGAGGAATAAGAGTGCTTGGAAAAATGTAAGGTTTTTCTACTACCCTACAGGAAATAAACAACATGCTTTATTAACAACTGTGTGGGAAATTTCTCTCCCTCAACTAAAATTTACATAAGGTGAGGGAAACTCTGTCTGAATGTGCTGATTTTGACCAGTGAAAGTAATACTGAAGATTCGAAAGTCAGATTCCTATAGCACTATGAATCTGTATGGGTAGTATAGATTTTCCCAAGTAAACATGTCACAGCCTCCTTCCTAGGCTGAATTCCCATCATGAATTTGTCGAACAATACATTCTTTTTCTTTTTTTAAAGAGAAAGAGAGAGAGAGAGATAAAGAGAGGGAGAATTTTAATATTTATTTTATTTTTTTAGTTTTCAGAGGACACAACATCTTGTTTGTATGTGGTGCTGAGGATCGAACCCGGGCTGCACGCATGCCAGGCGAGCGCGCTACCGCTTGAGCCACATCCCCAGCCCAAACAATACATTCTAATACCTTCTTTTTTCCCCCATTAACTCTTCCATTAGCACATAACAGGATTTTCCCCTCTTTACTATATTACAGTATTTCATTATGTAAATTTGCCAGTTTCTTCAAATATTCTCTAATTGCTGGATGCTTAGTTGTTTCCAATCTTTTGCTTTTATGTACACTATTTCAATGAATAACTTTGGGTTCAATCTGTACACAGAATACTGAGTGACACTCTATGGTCAAAGGGTAAAAGGCATCTGTAATTTTGATAGATACTGCCAGTTCGTCTTCCACAGACACCATGCCACTTTGCACTCACATCAAATGTATGAGTATTTATTTTCTATAAAATAAAATAAAATACTATAAAATATTAATATGTGACTATAAAAATACACATACCATAGACCACTCCCTAAATTCTGATTCAGTAGATAAAAGGGTTGGACAGAGTAGGACTATCTTGAAAAACTACCCAAAAGCACATTTCTAATTGAGAAATCCCCATTTTTAAAGGTATTCTTTGTCTTATTTACATTGTTCAAATCCAAAAGAAAGTCTCCTTTAGTCTCTAAAATTTACACTCCATGATCACTCATTCAATACTTTTTGAGTGCTTATAATATGCTGGGTACTCCAGATGCCAAGGATATAATGGTAAATAACAGTATCCATCATCAGGTATCCTCATGATCTAACAACGAAAGGCACAGAAATATAATGATAAGGTATAAATGTTAAGCATAAGAGACGTACATAAACTGTTATAACATTGAAGGGGGGAACTTTATCCTAACTGAAATGCTGGAGGAGGAATGCTGAAGGAGGTGCCTCTAAGATGAGGAGGAATTAACTAGTTAATCAAAAGGAAAAGAGGTAAACACAAAGAGGGCACTCTAAGTTGAAAACAACACATGCAAAAGTAGGAAGGAAAAAATGGATGAGATATGTATGTGTATGTCACTGCAAATATCTTATATGGCTAAAATATAAAATACAAGAAAGTGAGAAAATACAGGCTGCAGAAACAAAGATCAGATCACTGAGCATCTACTATGTCACATTAAGAAGATGGAATTTTATTCTATAGGCAAAAGTTAACTAAAGGGTTTTAAGGCTGAGAATGACATGGTCAAATTGCTATTTTAGACTTATTGACAATCAGCTGGAAAAGCAAGTAATTGGAAAATGAAAGAACAGTAAGAAAACTGATGCAGTAATCCAGATGACAGTATCAGGGTAAGGATTAAGGGAAAATGGACTGAAGAAATCTTAGGAGGTAAAATTAGATAGATACACATGTTAGATGTGGGGATAGAGGTGAATGAAAAGATAATTTCAAGGTGGTATCAATCTGGTACCAGGGAAGAACTAGATTGTTTTTATAACATAAATATGTATTGATGTAATAATTTTTCAATCGGGAGACAATGCCTGTAATACCTTGTTCCTCTAATAAGAGTCTCATATCTACAGGTAGCAGAATTTTCCACTGACATGAGACAGCGGGCCCATGGAGTGACACATTCTATTTCTAAAATGTCTTTCAGGAAAACACCCCAAGATTGCCCTCCATGTTAAAGAACTCTTCATGTGTCAGGCGTGAGGGAAAGAGAGGACTGTCCTCTATCAGAAAATAATTCCATCTTCTTGTTTTCTCTTAATAGCATCAGAAATTTGCTTCCACAGTGAGGTTCAGGGTGTTAAGCATGACACTTTGTTGACCTTTATTCTCACACTCAGGCTGTCAGGTATTCAACTGTCCTGGTGCAAGCAAATCAGAGTGACTAGAAGAGCTCATGGAAAATGTGCGCAGAAGCCTGGGAAGCACTAAGCACTAAGCACAGTTCCTACAGCTCATAGGGAAGTGTTTGGCACCTGGCCTTCCTCCCCATATCCAAATCCCCTGTCCAGACTTCTAGACTATGACACCTGCTCCATTCCCCTGAATTTGTCTATCAGCGAAGTACTAAATTTAAGCCTTTTTTTTTTGGCCAGGCACAGTGGTGCACACCTGTTATCTCAGTGGCTCAGAAAGCTGAGGCAAGAGAATCACAAGTTCAAAGCCAGCCTCAGCAACTTAGCCAAGCCCTAAGCAATTTATTGAGACCCTGTCTCAAAATAAAAAGGGCTAGGGATATGGCTCAGGAAAAAAAAAAAAAAGATTTAAGCTATTTTATCTGATTCTGGTATTTTTGAAACCAGGACAGATGTATGGAGCCCAGCAAAACTAGTGAGTTTATCCTCATCAGCATCATGCTTTAACCAACAAAGTAAAGCAACAACAGGCAACCCCAAAAGGTAGGCATATCCTGCATGGTCATATCTCTGATGCACCCTTTCTTGGAATAACTCCTAGAGTTTCTTGACTTCATCTTCCTCTATGCCCATGAAGCCAGTGACCCAGAAAATTGCTAACAACATACATAACTGCCAGTAAGGGGAAGGATATGTGGTTGAGCTTCTGGTGCTGCGTTACTAAAACCTAACCCATCCCAGCCAAGCTTTACATTAGTAAGAAATTTGGGAAACCTGAAGTACTGCCACCAAACAAAGGCAACCTTTGGCAGTGAGGAAATCTAGGGAAAGGATCCCCCCAAAAGGCTCCCTACCATAACATTCCCATGCCCCTGATTTTTGCAAGTCTAATGGTCCTGTAGGGATGAAGCAGAAGGAAGTTGTGTGTTAACTAAATTAGGCGTCTTTCTTCACCTGCAGGGTTCCTACAAAACAAACCAAAGAAACTAAGTACTAATAATCAACTGAAAATAATTCCACTGCTTAAAATGTCCAGGAATAACACACACACACACACACACACACACACACACACTCACTCAATCACACAGAGTAACATCAAGGCTTACCTTTCTCTTATCTTCATCTGTTGATTCAAATTTGAAAGTAGCCCTATGCTGAGGAGGGAAAAAAGGGAAACAAAATTATTTTAAATACACAGATTTTAAACTTAGGCTATGTTTAAAAATACAGGAAATAATATCCCTCTAAAAAGTTGCTTTCCCCTATCTCAATATCTTATTAAGGAAGAGACAGGCATGTAAGCAAATAATTATAAAGCAGTGTGAAAGACTGTAGCAGAAATATACACAAAGGAGTACAGAGAACCAAGTTACTAATTGCCCAGGAAAATTGAAATACTCGAACAAAGCATAGAGCATGTGAACTGTTTCTGGAAGGATAAATGGGAATTTGCCAGGGGGCAAGTGGAGAGCATCCTAGGGACAAATACAAAGACTCAGATGTGTGAAACACTATGATATATTCATGAAACAAGCAGCTCTGAGGCCAGAACACAGGACACATGTTAGGGGATGAAGAAGATGAGAATGAAAAAGTAGGTTGAACAGAGATTGACAGTGTTGCAGAGGAAATTGTATTTCCTTTCTCATATGCAATAAATCTTCAGAAAATTTTAAGGACACAATATTTTAGAAAAGTAATTCTGTAAGAATAAGAGTTTAAATCATGGATCATGGCTCCACCACTTACAAGTTATGACCCTGAGCAAGTAAACTGACTAGGTTTCTCATCTGGAAACAGAGGGTAGGTTCACAGGTTAAGTGTGAGAGTTCAAAGAGCTAAGGCATATAAAATACTATCTCAGTGCCTGGCATACAGTAAATTTCCAGTAAATATTAGGGTCATAATGATGATGATGCCAATGATATTGAGTAAAAATAACTGAAAGGGAAGAGAATGCTAAGATTCTCCTGAAATAACTGGCAACGCTCTTATTTTCCACTTTGGAACCAAGTAGGAGAGAATGGAGGATAGAATAAACTGACTTAACCACAGAAAAGTGGGTATCAAAGAAATAGAGTACAGAATTCCTCATTTTCCTCTCAAGTTTCAGTCATTATATATATAAATAAATATGTGCATTTATGAATCCTAAGCCCTCCTTTAAATAAAACAAACAAACAAAAAACAACTCTAAACATCCCTCTACTTTTCCTTTGTATTTCTCTCCTTGGCCACATTGACATATACATACTGGCAACCCACCAAGAGATAAGCATATTAAGTAATAAAGATAGAATCACCACAGGTGTTTCTGTGTTGACAGTTTTGTAGAAGAAGCAACTTTGAAATCAAATGAGATGGAGAAATGTTGGCAGAGAAGCAGTTCTGAATATAAGAAATGGTTAGAGGGAAGCCAAGAGGTAAAAAGATATGGACCATTTGAAGAAAGCTCAAGGAGGCTGCCTCAAATATGGATGCAAAATAATTAAAACAGATGAAGTCAGTTAGTAAGGGCACGGATTTAAAAATTTCATCACCTGAAACAGCAGATAGGTAACAGAGAATTAGGGGAAGTAGAATTCTGGAAGAGTATTTCAGGCAGTAGCTCACAGGCTAGACTGAAGACTGAGGACATAAAGCCATGTGGAGAACGGGCATCAGAATGGACACCATCCAGGCATTGCCGGTGGCAGTATAAACTGACACAAACCCTTTACAAACCCTAAAAGGGCAAGTGATTTGGCAACACATATTAGAAACCATAAAAATATTTATTCCCTTTGACCCAGAACTCCTACTCCCAAGAATTCATCGTAATGAAATCATCCAGGAGAGAAAAATTTTGTATGTAGGCATATTCACTGCAATGTTTTTTAATACTGTGAAAGAAAACAGTCAACCTGAACAACCACAAGAGACTGATAAAATGTTGTATAACAATGTTCTATTGAAATATCATTTCAAACTAATAAAATATTACATAGCAAATTTTAAAAAGACTCATCGTTGGAAAATTCTTTTTGTAATAAAAAAGAGAAATTTTTTAAATAAAGGATAAATGTCAGGCGTGGTGGTGCACTCCTGCAATCCCAGCTACTTGGGGGACTGAAGCAGTTTGAGGCTAGTTTGGGTAACTTAGCAAGACCCTATCTCAAAATAAAAATAAAAAAGGTCAGGGATGAGGCTTAGTGGTAAAGCACCCCTAGATTCAATTAATTCCCAGTACCACAAAATAAATAAGTAAATAAATAAATGAAGGATGAAGAATGAATGAATAAACAAGGAAGAAAAAAATGGAAGGGAGAAAGAACATGTTGTAAATCTGAGGACTAAGGAATTTATAGACCTGAGGTTTAGTTAAAAACTAATATTAAAGATAAGGAAGCAGCAGACATCAGTCTTAAGTTGTAAACAGAAGCTCAATAAAGGTTCAAAACAAATGTTCAAAACAAATAATCCTACTTAGAAACCAAGAAGGCTTATTTTTTTGCCATTCTACATAAAATATTAATTTTGTAAATTATCTGAAATAAATGTACCTAGTTAATATATTATGGTTCTCATATACTGTTTTGGGATTTATATGGAGGGGACAATAAAAAAGAAATTGACTTTTGGAAAGATACCCATTAAGTTATAAAGGTATCTTTTAAATAGTTCCTATGTAGAATTAATCTTTTTAGGTGATAATTTAGAATAATACTCAAGGGCTGATTTTTCCGTTGCATTTCAAATGCAAGGCTAAGCCTATCATAAAACCTCAACATTTTTAAAAAGGGAAAAAAAGCTTTAAAAAGCTTCCTCTACCAGCATGAGGGCTAATTTAATTAGAAAATATATTGGTATGTGAGGCATTACAAATTGAACTCAATGTACTAATCAATTCAGAAGCTCAACCCTCTAAGATTATCTGGATCCAACAGATGTTGGCTTCTATAAGGCTAGTTTCTTTTATCCAATTTGGATCACACCTAACATATTCAGTACCTCTAACCCTATTCTCTCCCCTTTCTAAAGCTAAAATGAGGGGAAAGGGAGCTAGTATTCCTACCTATAAGCACCTTTCTAGAACTGTTATCCAATAGTCAATCACCTCACCTTCTCTAAACACTTAATTTCCAGAGGAACAGGAGCAATAAGTCAAATATAAATCAAAGAGTAAAATCACTGTTCATTCAAGAGATCAAGCAAGCTAGAACAGCTCTGTGACACAAAACACTTGTTATGAGGACTCCTGTTAGGTTTTATACTGTATGAGTAGGCTCTACAAAGCTCAGGCATCAGACAGCCTTGAGTTTGAGTTCAGGCCTGCCACTAAGTGTGACCTTGGACAATTTATTCCACTTTACCACCACCAGATTTTCCTTATTTTTATGTATGGCACCTTGCACATGGCAGATGTTTATCAAATGGCCCTACTGTTTTTACTACATGGCTTGATACGGTGTCTGATCGAATACTGACTTATTAGAGAACTAGGAATTATTTCAAAAAGTTCTGAAGGCATATTCAAACAGCACAAATACAAGGGAATAAATCTAACTGGGGTGGTGTGTGTTGTGCTGTGTTTCATGAACAGAGACTACTTCTTGAACTAAAACTAAGTAATAGATTACATAACCAAATCTGTCTCTCTGAACCTCGGTTTTCTATTGAAAGAGACAGAATACTGCCATCTCCCTTATAACTTTTAGTATAAGAGATAATATACAATATGTGAAAGTTCTTAGAATGACACATAATACACTGCAGGTACTCAATAGATGTTAACAGGTGGACTGAGAAGAGTAATAAAAAAAAATTGCTCCTACTTAAAAAACAAACAAAAAACCCACCAATTTTCCTATTCTGAATCAACGTGTATTATGCTCTTGATGAATAAGCAAGTTCTTTCTGGGAGAGAGAGATTTTTCCCTTTCCCTAAGATAACAAGGGCTAGTGAATAAAACAAGAGCAGTTAGAAATCAGTGTCTCTGTAACACAGTAGAAAATAAGAGATTCCTGAAGTCAAACAGGTAACTGCTGTGCTAAACATGGTACAAGATACGCCATACTAATGATACCCACTATAAAGTGCAAGGGTCATGGCAAAAGGGAAAAAATGGAATATATCCCTAAATTTCTTATTGTTGTTAACTTGGTGCCACAAGTTTGGTTTTTGCCTTTGCTGTTCAAAGCTAACAATTAAGGGTTACTTCCTCAATGGCAGGTCCTGTTCTAAAATGCTTTATACATATAACTCATTTAAGCCTATCAACAACCCTGTGATACAGATACTATCATTATCCTCATTGGAAAGATGAGGAAACTAAGGCATAGCTAAGCTAAATAACCTGTCCCAGACTACACCTATTATAAAATGATGATCAGCATCCAGGCAGTCTGGCTCAAGAGCCTATGCTCTGGCTCCATAATCTCTTGAGTACCTTGATTGTTATGCTTACAATCCTGAGTGCACACCCCCTCGATGTAGTGTGCTCAGTCTTTGGGTATTATATTTCACTTAATTTAATCCTCACAATAAAGTAAGAAAATTATGTTATTATCTCTATTTTACAGATAAGGCAACTGAGACACAGGAGACCTAAAATAACTTAATCCACACCAGGTACAGTAGTACACCCCTGTGATCCCAATGATTTGGAAGGAGGATTGTAAGTCCATGGCCAATGTCAGCAACTTAGCCAGACTGTGTGTCAAAATAAAAAATTAAAAGTGCTGGGGATATGTAGCTCAGTGATAAGGCATCCTGGGTTCAATCTCCAGTACCAAAAAGTAAATAACTTCTTCATAGTCATGAAGCTAATTAATGATAAAGTCAGAATTAGAAGGTTTATCTGATGCCACATCCCACCTTTCTTCCACTACACTTGAAAAGTCTGGTTTTATTAGAGAAATTAAGTAACAAAGAATTTCCCCTCTCCTCTTCCAATCAATGAACTAATCATTCTTTTCTTCCATCATTCATTCCTCTTTTGTTTAAATTCCTCAATGTTCCATTATCATCTCTTATTCCAAACATTTCTCAAATCCATTTTCCAGACAAAGAAACTGAAGCACATGGTATCCAACTTCTATCTTAGAGTTTCAGTCTCCATACACCATAAGCTGGGCAGTTTCACTCCACCCCCCCATTCTTATTGCCTGACCACTGTTATCATATTTCCCCTTCCATTTCATCTGCTCCCAAAGTCTCTTCCTTAGAGGAGAGCAAAGCCTCACTGCAATATGAAGCTCAGCTATTTTCTTCGTACTATAATCAGCCCTACTATACTGATCCTACTAGAATCAGCATTAAACATGACAGTTTTCTTCTGAAAGAGCTAACCGACCCCCTTTACATCAAGTCAGAACATTCTCAGGGTTGGCTTGGCCAAAAAGTACAAGTATCTGGGAATCCTCTGAAGCACTTCAGAATATCATATTAAATAATACACAATGGGAATAACAACTTTAAAAACATTGCCAATGTGAAAAGGGGGAGCTGGAGATGTCCAGGACGTAAGCTTTGACAATGCTTGGCCAGGAATGGTAAATGGAGACCAACCTGGAGAGAGATCAAGGAGAGGAAGAGATAAATTGGAGGAAGCAAATCTGAGGTCTAATTAGTTTAGTCATGAAGGGAAAGAGAAATATTGAATGACGTGATAAGATCCAGTTGGAGGTTGTTCTTCCTCCCTCCTCTATGGAAGAAAGTTCTGATTTATTGCTGGGTATCTGGTAGACAGTAAATGCTAAATAAACATTAGTCGTTTCAACACAATGGCCAAGTTCTCTATTCTATTTCTATCTTTTGAAAATCAATCTATAGCTGCCTCCTATCTTTTCTGGAAAGCAGTAACAAATCAAGATAAAAGAATATAATCTACAAAGCATGAACTCCTACACATCAAGTGAATTTCTCCTAAATCATATACTAAAACATCAGAAAGTGAAGGGACTGCTGGGCACAATGGCTGATGTCTGTAATCCCAGCTATTTGGGAGGCTGAGGCAGGAGGATCCCAAGTTCAAGGTCAGCCTGGGAACTTACCTGAGATCCTGTCACAAAATAAGAATTAAAAAGAGTTGAGGATGTAGCTCAGCGGTAGAGGACCCTGGGTTCAATCTTCATTAATGAAAAAGAAAGTGAAGGGGCTAAGATATGAATAAAACATAACCAATGCATCCTTCCAAAGAAAGTGGCATTGTAGAGAGAGCACTGAATATGGACCTGGACAACCTCCACTCAAATCTCTGCTCCATATTTTATTAGCTGTGTGGACCTAGGATTACATTGTCATCCTCAATTTTACCATTTTTGAAAGTAGGAATACCATCACTCTACTCACAGGGTTATCAGAAACATAAAAATGAAAGTTTTTCATAAAAAGGACCATGCCTTATTTTTGGATCTTTTTCACACAGGGCAGAAATGGCATACTGGCAGCTCAGTAATACAGACCATATGCAAGTGCAATAGTAGGCAAAGAGCAAACTCAAAGGGGGAAACCATGCACTGAGGCTAAGAGAAGGAAGAAAGATGTTACATCTAGGGTGTGACTTGGTGTTGGGTGTACTTTCACAGAAGGGAGTAATCAGTCATTCCTATACAATAGTCTTCTAACCTAGTAAAGGTGTGGTATGCTACCTTTTGAAATGAACATGTAAAATTCCTGGAAGGAAAAGTAATGGAGAGCTAACGGGTCCCAGATTCAAAGAAGAGACTGGGATTTAGAACAAGATACTATTTCACTGCAAAGTTGTAAAGTGGAAAGAACAATAAATGGACAGTTTGAAGACCTAGGCTGAAATTTTGGCTCCCAAGTATGACCTTGGGCAAGTTACTTAATCCATCTTGAGTCTTAACTGCAAAACACTGATAATACCTCACAGGATCGCTGTCAAGATTAAAGGATATAATGAATAGCAAAGCTGTTAATGCCATACAAATAATAGGTGTTATTAGGAGTTAGATTCTCCACCCACTTACAACATAATATGTCCATGACCTTGGGGGCGATTTCAGTTCTTTGCACCTCGGTTTCCTCATCTATAAAATGGGAAGGATGATAACATCTACCCTATAAACACTTTGAGGAATCAAATGAGATCATATATGAGATATCAACACCTTGAAAACTGCACAGTGGTGTAGGTATATAAAGAACAGCTATGGTTGCTGACATGTTTTATGCATGTCAAAGGCTGGGTTTATACAGAGAAGCGCGTATTTTTATGCTATACAGGTGAGGAAGCCTCGCATACATTTATGCATCCAAGAGTGCCGCACCGGGCAAAAAAACGAACAGGTATGGATTCTGGGGGTGTGACTGGCACGCTTAAGAAGAGGTCCCTACGACGGGCTGACGAACCAGGAATCAGAGGGGTGGGCACCGGAGTTGGGGTAGGGGGGGGATGAGGATGCACGGATGGGAAAGGCTGGGGGCACAAACACGCATGCCCAAGCCGGAAACCTTTTCGGGGGGGAAAGCAACGCGAATCCCCGGAATGAGGGGGGTGGGGAGGGATGCTATGTGCAAGCCCCGAGGGCGGCCCGGGGGTGCGTGAGCGCACGCCCGGGGCCAGAGCTCTTTACCTTGTCGCTGTAATCCCTTAGGACCCGCTCGATAGCCCCCGCTTCGCCGGCCCGGACGATGTAGAGGGCGCGCTCCTCATCCATGGCCGCAGGTGCGGGGGAGCCGCGGCCGCTCTGCGCTCCCAAGCCGCTGCCTCCAGGTAAACGCCTCGCGCCCCCGCTCGCTCGCTCCTTCTCAGCTTCCTTCCTTCCCTCCTTCCCTCCCTCCCTCCAGTCTCCAACCCGCCAGCCTCCGCCCGGGCAGGCCCGACGTCACCGCCCCTCAACTTTCACCCCGCGACGTCACCGCTCCCCAAGCAACCGGCGTCTCGCCGCCGTCCCCGACAAGGCCCAGCACTCGGTCGAGGCCCGGAGAGCGGCCTGAGGCGGGGTCAGGCCCGAGACCCTGCTTGCTCTACTCGGTCTCTCAGCCTTAGAGAAGAGCCCAGTCTTTTGAGCGGGCTTTCACGGACAGAACTGTTCTCTCCAGACGCTCCTCTATGAATCATTCTCAGCGGACCAGAACGACCCGGCTTTTCCCCGCCCATCTGCGGGCCTGCGGCTAAGTGCACTACAATTCCCTATATGCAATGAGGTCATCCCACTCTGCCTTCTGATTTACTGGGGTACCGAATGGCATGCCGGGATTGGTAGTCATCCAGAAGGACAGACTTCCCCCCCCCCTAAGGGCATGCTGGGAACTGTGGTCCTGCGAGGGCCGGAAACTGGAGTCCGAAGACCGCCTGAGGCCAGCTGCGGCGAGACCGTTAGGGGGAGGGTCTAAGTTTCTGCCGAGCCTGGGTTTTTGTTCTCTACGCCGCTGACCGTCCTGCTCCAGACTTGGCTGGTTGGACTGACTGGCGGTCGCGGAAACTGCCACTCCTTGCGGGGAGCTGTCAAGCGCTGGTTACTTCCCTCTGTTCTGGTTTAGCGGTTTCGGTCTCTGAGATTCCTGCCTTCCTTCCTCCCTTGCTTGCGGTCGTGTCCTGCAGTCAGTCACGCGGGGAATGAAAGGCAGTTATCTCGGGATGAAAGGGAACTCGGCGAGTTTTTTGCCTTTATGGTAAATGCCGCCGCGCGTCTCGTGCCCACGGAGTCCCACACCGTGTTAGGTGGCTTCCATGGAGCCTCTGATTTCACAGCACAGATTTTTTTTTGTGGAACTAAAAGGAACCCGAAGAGGTTCAGCAATTCGGCCTAAGAGAAGTCGAGATTTGAATGCGGGTCTTTCCCTGAAGGTAGATGTCAGAGTACCGAGGCAGTAGGAGAGGAGGTAGCGATGGAAGAGGCTCGCATTGGCGAAATGTTGACCAGCTGCCAACCACGCACTGTCACATACTTCCTGTGTTCGCTCAGTTTCTCACAAATTCATTCACAAATATTGAGAACCTGTGCTGTGGCAGGCACTGTTCAGTGCAGCGTGGGTACAGTGGGCCCCAAAGAAAGTCCCCGTCTTCGCGGAGCTTCGGTGCTAGTGAGCAACTAACTCTTTGAACAACTCTGTTACAATCATGAGGAAACAGCCTTAGGTTAATTAACTTATCAAAATTGCAGATTTTGGAAACTGTGAATTTAGAGCCCGTGCTTTTTCTGTTCTCCCAGGCTTTTTGGTGAGAGTGGATAAATTCTCCAAGCGGAGTCCAAGTTCTGCACTCTAAGCAATTGTCTTTGATGCCACCCCCTCCAGCCTGTCCTTCTTGAGCTGTGTTGAAAAGGAAATGGAGTACAGTTTATTCACCTAATAATTTTTTTTTCTACATTGTGCTAAGTATTCTGCTAGACTTTGGGAATTTGGAGGTTAAAAAAAAAAAAAAAAAACACTAAGCCTGTGGGACTTTTGGTTTTTCTGAGGTTTATACTTTTCATGGAGCAAACATTTATTGAGCATATTGTTGAGCCCCAGGCATCATGGTGTGTTAGTCAGCTTTCCATTACTATTACAGAATACCTGAAATAACCTAATAAGGGAAAAGATTTATTTTGGCTCATAATTTTAATGAATGGTTGATTGGCCCCCCACTGCCTTTGGGCCTGTGGTGGGAAGTTGAGGTGGAAGAAACTGCTCACTCATAGCAACTAGGAAGCAAAGAAGTAGATTAAGGGGCAGGAGTCCCAATGTCCTCTGTACACCATTCCCCAATGACTTAACTTCCTTCAACTAGGTCTCACTAACTATCAGTAGTGCCATGGGCTGGAGACCAAGCTTTACCACATGGTACTTTGAGGGACATTTCAGATCTAAATTATGAGCAGGATAAGTGCTGCATCTGTAATGAATTGTAGGAAAGATTTAATCCATCTCTTGAAAAAGCACTCTTAGGTCATGAAACCGTAAGCCACAATCCTAAGATGATAATAATATCTTGCAATTATTAACAGTTTATAAAACATTTTAATATACAGTATCTCAATGGATCATTGAAGAAGGTATTGTCCTCACTTCATAGATAAGAAAACAGGGTCATATGAATTAATTAACATCAATGGGACTGAAACTTTTAGCTGTTGACAAATATTTGGATACCTACTCTGTGTCCAGTAATGTACTAAGTGCTTTTTGGGTAACCTTATATTTATTTTTGGAATAAGGTTCTCCTGAAGAGGATATTAACAAACAATTATCCCAGTAAAGATGTTTCCTTTAAAAAGGGTCTTACACGTGTCTTGGAAGTGTCTGTCCGCTAGAAATAAGCTATGTTTTTATGCTTTCAATCCTATACTTCTAAAAAGAGATGGAAAAAATGTGAAATCACATGAATTAATGGCTTGAGAAATTGTATTTTAGTAATTTTAATTGTTAATATTCTGATTTCATAATGAAAGGATCTTTGATTGTAATTCAAGTCATCCTTTAACCACTGATGAGACTCTGGTCCCTGAAAAATTAAATGGTTTGTCCAAAGTCAATAGTGAAAAGCAGACACTGGGACAAAGCCTAGACTAGCCACTTCATCACTGTACCTCCGTAAGTATTAGTTATGTGAGACTTTCAGTGACCAGAGACTTTTGTCCAGCACTCACTCCAGTACGTATGGATTTTTAGGTGGCATGGTACCAAGGAATTAGGATTTAGAGCCTTCGTGATCAAAGCAATAAGTCACTTATTCTCAAGTCAGTGCTCTGAGAGAATGTAATAACATAGATGAATAGTGCCTCACTATGGTCAAAATATATTCACATGAATATCTGATTTAACCCTTATAATAACTGAAAATATAAGGTTAATAGGACAGGCACTATCTTCTTTCTTACAGAGAAAGGGGAAGTTCAGGGTGTCTATTAGCTTACTCATGAGCAAATAAGTCTGCTAATAAGTGGTATCATTAAGGGGTAAGTGCTTTGGGCTCTGATAACAAAATGTTATGGACTTTCAAGTTAGTGCCAATGAAAAAGCCTGCAAATAGATACTAGTCATTTATTTTGGACTTTGATATATCCTGCTGTGGCATTTCCTCTTGCCATGACAATGGACTCGTTGGAATGTGCCAAATTCAAGGTCTTTAAGGAGTACCTGGTGCTAACAGCTTTTAAAATCCACACTTCCACTTGCAATACTTCTGTATGTTTTCTTTAGAATAAAGCAGAAATTTAGAAATTAAACAAATCAGTCTAGTGATTGCAACTCCAGAATTGGAGTTCAGAGCATTATATTCATTTAAGGTGAGGTAGTATAAAAAACAAAAACAAACAAACAACAACAAAAAAAAAAAAACCAAAACAAATGATAGGTAGAAAGGAGACAAAGGATGAAAAAGGAAATTGTAGCTTTAATCTGAAAACCTTGGGCTAAAATTCCTCATTCCTTTTCTCCCCAGACCAGTTTTCTCTCCTAGTCCTGTCACTCCCAAATTCTTGAGAAATCTGTAAATGTTAAAGTTACTGTAAATTCACTCACAATGTTAAAGTTACTGAACATTCACTCACTTATGAAAATTGCCTGGTGCACTGTGAATTTGCCTACACAATGTACTAACACATGTATTTTTAGATTAGATCAAACAAAGGGAGATATCATATTTTAAGGAATCTGTAATATAGGGTACATTGCCAAGGTTATCTGCTGATCAGATAGAAGAGACAATGTCAACCTAAAGACCCTGAGAATGGCCAGACCACCATAAACTGTATTGTGATCACCAGGCTGATGTCATACCCACATACCATTCCATGCCCATCCTTCATAAAGCTTTCTTTAGAAGTCTGAGATTCCAAAGCACTCTTCTCACTCTCAAGATAACTGGCATTCTTCCCTAAAAATATGAATAATCACCTTTCACTTTTTTTTTTTTAATACCAGAGATTGAACCCAGAGGCGATTATCCACTAAGCCACATCCCCAGCCCTTTTTTTGTATTTTATTTAGAGACAGGGTTTCACTGAGTTGCTTAGAGCCTCAGTAAGTTGCTGAGGCTGGCTTTGAACTCACAATTATCCTGCCTCAGCCTCTGGAGCCACTGGGATTACAAGTGTGTGTCCCTCCCCCCCCAAGTAGAGGTTTCTTCGCCTCCTCAAGCACCCTAATGGTGACAAAGACACCACCTATGTGAGGCCACTCATTCAAGTATCCTCAGCTATAAAACAAAGGAATTGATCCAAGTATTATTTTTCTCTTAGTTCTAAAATTTTGTGATTTTAAAACAAAAAACATTGATTAGATATGTTCAATCTTAAGAAAAATGTATTAATAAGAGGGTTTGCATACATCAACTACAAATACTATGATATATGCAAATTATTGCTTGAGCATACCCACAAAGATTCTACTTCAGTTGAAATAAGCCAGTAGGATTGAAAACCACTTAACCAATATTTTGGTAAAGGATCAACCACTGGACTAGATTTTAAACTCATGTGCTTATAACTTAGTCTTTGAGAAATTAGAATAACCTGGCAAAATGTAAGTTACTCTTTTCTTTTTCTACCAAGAATGAAGACTCAGGCTTGGCATGTAGTGGTAAAATGCTTGCCTAGCATGTGCAAGGCCCTGAGTGTTTAATCCCCAGCACCATAAAAAAGAAAAAAGAATGAAGTCAACCTTTCAACAAAGCTGATCAATATAATTTTTTTAAAAGAAATACTTAGTGCTCTTTGGAGCACAGCATTGTCTTAGACATCATGAAAATTAAAAAGTAGAAATAATTGATCCTCTTTTGTGGATGTAAGATACAATAAATTGATTTTACTGATAAGGAAATTGTACATAGTTACTGTACAGATCAAAGCAAGATAAA